TTTTTAGAAGACTGCAGAAGATAAAAGGTGGGAAGCCAAAAGGAAAGATAAAGGATTTATTGAACATAACACTAAAAAAATAAAAAATAAGAAAATGAAGTAAATAGTAATTTTTTAAAAAGGTCCATTGATTCTGTGCATAGGACAAACTTGTTTCATTAATAACAATAATAAACTTCTGGAGAGATGAGGAAAGTCTGAAGGGAGGATGAAGGAACTGTCATGAGTTTAACTGAATTCAGTGAGCAGTTTCATAAAAGAAAGTCAAGATTTTTCAAAAAATTCTGCAAATTTTCTGTAATATTTTTTTTCAAAAAATAAAAATAAGAAATTTAGAAATGGATTAAATAACTCAGAAACTAATATTTCAGTAGGGAGTGAATTTTTACTTTTGTTGGATGCCCTCCAGTGATTTCTAAATATAAGACTCTATTTGCAAAGTAAATGCAGTATAGTTTCAAGTCTTATGATGTTTTTCACCTATCATTTCAAAGGTCTTTATTTTTCCTTTTGAAACTTATTCACAATGCAGTTTAAATGTTTGCTACTGCTGTTTTCAGACCTTGGTAGTCAAGAGTGACAGCTTTACTAATTACTTTCCAAAGAAGAAAAATATAGGTGGGTAAAGCTGTAAGTGGGGCCCATTTTTTCCTAACATTTTCCAATTAACTTCCTGTCAGCATTGTTGTAAGCTAAGTGTTTTCATTTCTTTATTCTTTATGTCATAGTTTATTCATGTGTAATGTCACTGAGATAATCAAATCTCAGTGGCATGTTCTTATAATTAGTATTTATAAGAACAAACAACTGTGCAAGGTACAGGTGGAAAGCCGACTAAGTATATACACAATAATGCAGGGTACTAACTAGTAACTAATCAACATAACTTTTGACGGTTAAACTGTGTCCTACTTGAATAAAACTAATCTCAAAGGTCTGAAAGATGGTTCAGTATGACCAGCCCCCAGGATACCTTTGGCAAAGTGCCTTTTCCTTCTTAATTACAGTAGGGGAGAATCAGCATGCCCATTTCTCTCTCTGTAAAAAGAGTTTAGGGCATTGGTCCTGAGGCACGGCGTTTGGAATACGTTGAGAAGTACCTCCTGTTTGGGAGATGCCTCTTTAGATTAGACAAAATTGTAGGATTTTATTGATATTTAAGGGAATATCGGTTTACAGTCTTTTTTTTTTTTTTTCAAAGTGAGAGCTGATTACAGAATGGCATTACCATTCAATTCAAAATCCTTTTTCAAGGAAAAAGGAGATCACTGTAGAGTCAGGTGTCCTACATCCTCAGAGTTAAACTTTACTTTCTGTTTTTACTCTTTAAGATCCATAAGACTTGAAAGTTGAATTTCCTCATCAGCACTTTCAGATTGTTCTTTAAACCATTTCTCTTTCAAGGTTAGGATGCTGGGGATGTGGAGGTGAACTCCTGCACTCTGAAGATTATTCTGGAGTGATTTTTTTTTCTTTCTGTTTTATTTTATGTGATTTTTTTTTGTTTTATCATTTCGTAAAGAAATATTTGAAAGTATTGACCATTTGCAATGTTTGTGATTTTTGTGACCCTTTTAGTCTGCTCATCCTTGTAGTATCGTCCTTCAGTAGCATTGTCAAAAACCTGTAAAAGGTTTAATCTTCTTATTTTTTTTATTAGCAACTGAACTGTTTAAATATAGAAAGTATTCTAGAGTGAACAGCTCCTGAACGTTTGACATTTCCATAGTAAGTTCAGATTTTACTCTTGCCAACTAAGAGAGCTTATGGATAAAGCCCATCTGGAGTCTGTGATATTCACTGATTAGAGACTAGTTACTCTAACAATTTTTGAGGCATGCAGATACAAAAAAGGATTTTGAAAGATAGATTCAGGGAACCTTGAGGTGTATTTCTGCTGAACTCCCTGCAGAATGTAATCAAGAACTGTCTTATTGCTTATGTGGTTCAGGTTGCCTGCATCAAAACAAACAAAAAAAAATGCAAACAGGATTTTTTTTTTAATTGGTGGTAATTACCTATACATGTATTTAATAAACTGGTACAAAATAACTGTTATTTGCTGGCTGAAGCTTTTTAACTAATTCTTGTATTAACAAGCTGCTGGTTGAATTTAAAGTATTGATTGTGCAAACAAAGCACCTACAATGAAAAAGATATAGCTACTGAAAAGGATAAGTAGGAGACTTTTTATCTCCAGTTGCTCAGAAACTAAATAAAAGGCAAATAAAAGCTGATTACATGCTAGTTTTCAGGATTATTTGCTGGGCCTTGAGGGTTTGTTTTCTGAGTAGGCGTTTAATGATTTGTTAAGTATTAAATAGGCTGATGAGTTTGAGAGTGGAAAGCATTGTTTATAAATGGCAAGCAGGAAGGACAGGATTTGTGGTAAATACTGTCTGCAGTGGTTCAAGAGCAAAATAACCTAGTTGCAGCTCAGCTGCATAAGACTAGTAAAATTCAGTCAGAATACTTCTGCTTTTTTGACCTGAAGAGAGGAGCATGTTTTGAATAATCAAGAATATTTAGTACCTTACCTGGTTAAATGTAAACTGGCTTAGAGTTTAAACCCTAAATTCTGATATAACAAACAATCTGAACCTATTCAGACCTACTCATTCCTGTAACTTTCCTTTCTCAAAATTGCGGCTGTCACTTCTAAAGTCCCTGGAGAAAGTGAAAAAAAAAGTGTCTGTTTAGCCCTACCAACCTTGTTTATTAGACACCAATTTCTCTCTTGTAAATTACTTGTCATTCTAATTCTTCAGCAATAAAACTGAAGAAATCTACCTGGCGGTACAATAAAATTGAGGGAGAAAAAAAAAAAGAGAAGATGAAATCTCTACCCACTATACATACCAGTGAGCTAAGCTCCCTCATTTCAGTTTTATGTGAAAGTATTTCTTGATTGTTCAGAGATATATGAAAATAAACATGGATTTCTGCCTGACAGGGTTGGCAGATCAGATAGGACAGGAATACAGAAGAACATTATGTTATCTGTAGAATGAATACATTTGTTTTATTCTTTAG